AATAGTATTCACAAGAGCCAAAATGTAGAAACAACCCAAAGGCCACATATTTATCATCTCATTTATATGGAATATCCAGTTAGGGGTAGAGACAGGAAATAGATTTGTGTTTGCCAGGCAATGGGGGAGAGGAATGGAGAGGGCCTGCTGAGTGGGTTCAGGGTTTTCTTTTGGGGGGAGGAACATGTTTTGATTGCAAAACATTGTAAATGGATTAAAGGCCACTGAATTGGGCAGTTAAACAAGGCTAATTTTAGGTTATGTGAATTTCACCTCCATTTTTAAAAAGTTATACTTGGCCAGATGTGGTGGCTCACACCTGTAATCCCAGCAGTTTGGAACGCCAAGGTGGGAGGATCACCTGAGTTCAGGAGTTTGAGACCAGCCTGACCAACATGGAGAAACCCTGTCTCTACTAAAAATACAAACATAAGCTGGGCATGGTAGTACATGCCTGTAATCACAGCTATGCGGGAGGCTGAGGCAGAAGAATTGCTTGAACCTGGGAGGCAGAGGTAGTGGCAAGCTAAGATTGTGCCATTGCACTCCAGCCTGGGCAACAAGAGTGAACTCCATCTCAAAAAAATGAAAAATAAAAATAAAAAATAAAAAGTTGTCCTCTGAGTAACCCAGAGTCAATGGCACACAGGCATTTGTGCTTTTACTGTGCCACAACCTCAAACCAAGCCCACTCAGAGGCTAGTGCAAAGCTAATCACTCAGCAGATGAGTGGGAGGGCTGCCTCTCTGCAGCAGGGCCAGGGTCGTGGGGGTCCTGGATGGTAGGGGTCTTGGAGATGTCCCTCCTTGTGACTCAGTCTGTGCAGCGCCCTGTTCTCCTCCACCTTGCTCCCTCGCTCTCCTCCCACTCACGAGGTCTCACCTCCCCAGCTCTCCTCTTACCCCCAAGCTCCCACTCTTGCTGAGACTCCCTTCCTCTGCCACCCTCCTGGGCCCTCAGGACACCTTCTGTCCACCTGCCTCACCCTCCCGGGGTTGGCACAGCCACCCCGCCTTCTCCACCAAATGCCCCCACTTCAGAAAACCACATGGCCTGTGAGTCAGGGCCTCCACACATTGGTGCACTAGGAGCTTACCAGGGTTTCCTCCAGGTGGTCCTCACGAAGCTTCCATTTTCTCCTCAACTCCCCTCCCAAATCAACTTCTTCAGTCTCAAGATGCATTTGCTTTTTCTCCCACTCAGGAAATGGGGGCTGTCCCAGGGGGCTCCTCCCACTTCCAGTGTCCATATTCTTCCTCTCCAAAGGAAGAGGTGTCCAGCCCCTCCAGAGCCTCCCTGGATCCATTCTTTCTCCCCCTCCCCATCTCCACCCTTTGCCTTGCTTTGGCTCCTTCCCTCAATCTAAACACAAGTTCAAATCTCTTGCACTGTAGAAGTAAATTAAATTAATAAACAAGAGAAAAACAAAAAAAATTACATTCTCCTGCAAACTACAAAATGCCATTATCTTGCCTGACAAAATCGAGTCATTCCCCGATCTTATTTTCATATGTTGTCCAAATCCAGGTTTCCCTACTTGTCCCCCGTTGTCTACATTGCTAGCCTTTTTCAAATCAGAACTTAATAAAGACTGTGTTTCTTTGTTTCCTATGTCCCTTACCTCTCTCAGCAGCTTTCCAACCTCACTCTGTGCCTCTTTTACTCGTGACATTGACTTTTTGAAGAGGAAAGTTAAGTTGCTTTGTAGAATGCCCCCCATTCTGGATTTGTCTGGTTCTTTCCTGTGGTGTCACTCACCTGACTCTCCTGTCTCTTGTGTTTCCTGCAAACTGGAATTAGATCTGAAGGTTTGATTGGATGCAGGTAACTTCTTTTGGCTATAACACTTCATGGGGCTTGTGGGTTGCTATACTGGGTATCACAGCAGGAGGCAGAAATGTCTGTGTCCCACTTTTATGGATGCCAAGTGTGATTCTGGCCCAGGGTGTGGCCAGCTACCCTCTCCATTGTAAAATTACATTTTTGTCTTTGCAGTTAGAATCTTAGAATCTGTGGAAACCATGCAAATAACCTGCTCCCCACCCACCTTTCCCCTCATGTTTTTATCTTTCCCCTCATGTTTTTATCTTTTATCTTTTAT